GTTCACATTTTATTCATGGTGCTTTCTGTAAAATGCTTGCTAAGTATGATGTTAATCATAGAATTGCATCTCCTTATCACCCACAGTCTAGTGGTCAAGTAGAATTGAGTAATAGAGAAAACAAATTAATTTTGCAAAAGACTGTTAATAGATCTAGAAAGAATTGGTCCAAGAAACTTGATGATGCATTATGGGCCTATAGAACTGCATATAAAAATCCTATGGGTATGTCTCCGTATAAAATGGTTTATGGAAAAGCATGTCACTTACCTCTCGACCTAGAACATAAGGCTTATTGGGCTATTAAAGAGCTCAACTATGATTTCAAACTTTCCGGTGAGAAGAGGTTATTTGACATTAGCTCACTTGATGAATGGAGAACCCAAGCCTATGAGAATGCCAAGTTATTTAAATAAAAAGTTAAAAGATGGCATGACAAAAGAATACAAAAGCGTGAGTTTAATGTAGGTGATTATGTATTGCTATACAACTCTCGTTTACGATTTTTTGCAGGAAAACTTCTCTCTAAATGGGAAGGTCCTTACGTTATAGAGGAGGTCTATCACTACGGTGCCATAAAAATCAACAACTTCGAAGGCACAAATCCGAAGGTGGTGAACGGTCAAAGAATTAAACATTATATCTCAGGTAATCCTATAAATGTTGAAACCAATGTTATTGAAATCGTAACCCCGGAGGAATACATAAGGGACATTTTTCGGAATGTTTCAGACTCCGAAAAGGAATAGGTATGTGGTACGGTAAGTAAACCGACTCCAAAACTGTTCTAATGGCAATTTTCCTCCATTTTGGAATATTTAGAAAAATAGAAAAATAAGAAGCAGTCCGGGAAGGACACGAGGGTGGAGGGCGCGCCCTACCCCCCTGGGCGCACCTCGTGTGCTCTCTGGACTCCGTTTTCTTACACGTTACATATTTTGGTCGGTAAAAATTCATTATATAATCTCCCGGAGGTTTTGACTCCCATATCACGCAAATATTTCTTGTCTTTGTTTTGAGCTGTCCTGCTACAGATTTGAGCAACATGTCGTCCCAGGATTCGGAAGGAGAGAGCTATGTGGCTGACTACCTTGCGGATCCTAAAGTCTATGGGGATGTGGAACATTGTGTTTGGACTACGAAAGAAGAAGAGGACTATGAACCTAAGGGAAAGGAGGAGACGAGCTCAGATGAAGATGAAGTCCCACTACCTCAACCTGGGGACATGCATGTGGAGTTTAAAAAGTCAAGCCTCCCTGATAGAGTAAAGAAACCTAAGATCGAGTTTATCCCTTTTCGCCTCTTGCAGGAAAACAAGCAGGAACTATGCAAAAAGATACTGAGCCTGGAGTAGGAGATCGAGGACCTAAGGGACCAAAATTCTGTCCTCAAGCGCAAATTAAGGAAGAAGCCTACGCCATCAACAAAACCATCACCTTCTTCACCAACAAAGAAGAACTGAGTATCTGGTATGGGCACTCCCCTTGGCAACCGCCAAGCTTGGGGGAGTGCCCCGGTATCATATCACCATCACTTTTATCTTTACCGTTTTTCTTAGTTCAATCCTTTTGGTAATATCTTGATCTCGTAGAATAAAAGTTTTTAGTATGATCTAGTTGTGAGTTTTGCTTTATGATCCTTCTATGTAATCGAGTCCGTGAGCTATATATAATAAAGATTAGTGTTGAGTCAAGAGCTTGTTTATTTTGCCATGATCTTGAGTGAATAAAAGAAAAGAGAAAGAATAAAAGGAAATAAAAGAGATCATATGGATCTTATGGAGAGTAATGCGCTCACATAGAAAGAGTATGATGAATAAAAGTTGTTGAGAGTTGACAAACATAGTTTTGGTCATCGTTGCAATTAATAGAAAGTAATAAAGAAAGAGAGGTCTTGACATATAAATATACTATCTTCGACATCTTTTATGATTGTGAGCACTCATTAAAATATGACATGCTAAAGAGTTGACATTGGACAAGGAAGACAACGTAATGGGTTATGTTTTCTTACATTTGAGATAAATTATATTGTCATGGATCATCCAACATGGTTGAGCTTGCCTTTCCCTCTCATGCTAGCCAATTCTTCGCACCAAGTAGAGATACTACTTGTGCTTACAAACACCCTTAAACCAGTTTTGCCATGAGAGTCCACCATACCTACATATGGATTGAGTAAGATCCCTCAAGTAAGTTGTCATCGGTGCAAGCAATAAAAATTGCTCTCTAAATATGTATGACTTATTAGTGTGGGAGAAAATAAGCTTTATACGATCGTGTGATATGGAAGAAATAAAAGCGACAGACTGCATAATAAAGGTCCATATCACAAGTGGCAATATAAAGTGACGTTCTTTCGCATTAAGATTTTGTGCATCCAACCATAAAAGCGCATGACAACCTCTGCTTCCCTCTGCGAAGGGCCTATCTTTTACTTTTATCTCCTACCTTACATAAGAGTCATGGTGATCTTCACCCTTCCTTTTTACATTTTATCTTTTGGCAAGCACAACATGATGGAAAGATCCTGGCATATATGGCTAATTGGATGTGAGTTTTCATGAACTATTATTGTTGACATTACCCTTGAGGTAAAACGTTGGGAGGCAAAACTATAAGCCCCTATCTTTCTCTGTGTCCGATTAAAACTCCATACCCATAAGTATTGCGTGAGTGTTAGCAATTTTGAAAGACTATATGATAGTTGAGTATGTGGACTTGCTGAAAAGCTCTTATATTGACTCTTTCCTATGTTATGATAAATTGCAATTGCTCCAATGACTGAGATTATAGTTTGTTAGTTTTCAATGAAGTTTATAATTCATACTTGAAATTGTGATTGAATTGTTACTCTAGCATAAGAGATCATATGACAAAAATTATATAAGTTGTTGTTCTAAGAATGATCATGATGCCCTCATGTCCGTATTTTATTTTTATCGACACCTCTATCTCTAAACATGTGGACATATTTTTCGATTTCGTCTTCCGCTTGAGAACAAGCGAGGTCTAAGCTTGGGGGAGTTGATACGTCCATTTTGCATCATGCTTTTATATCGATGTTTATTGCATTATGGGCTGTTATTACACATTATGTCACAATACTTATGCCTATTCTCTCTTATTTTACAAGGTTTACATAAAGAGGGAGAATGCCGGCAGCTGGGATTCTGGGCTAGAAAAGGAGCAAATATTAGAGACCTATTCTGCACAGCTCCAAAAGTCCTGAAACTTCACGGAAGTCATTTTCAGAATATATAATAAATACTGAGCGCAAGAAGTTCACCGGGGGGGCCACACCCTGCCCACGAGGGTGGGGGGCGCCCCCTACCCCTGGGCGCCCCCTACCTCGTGGGCCCCCTGGTGGCCTTCCGATGACCATCTTCTGTTATATGAAGTCTTTCGATGAGGAAAAATTATAATCCATATTTCCGGATGAGACTCCGCCGCCACGAGGCGGAACCTTGGCGGAACCAATCTAGGGCTCTGGCGGAGCTGTTCTGCCGGGGAAACTTCCATCTGGGAGGGGTAAATCATCGACATCGTCATCACCAACGCTCCTCTTATCGGGAGAGGGCAATCTCCATCAACATCTTCACCAGCACCATCTCCTCTCAAAACCCTAGTTCATCTCTTGTATCCAATTCTTGTCTCCAAGTCTGGGATTGGTACATGTGGGTTGCTAGTAGTGTTAATTACTCCTTGTAGTTGATGCTAGTTGGTTTATTTGGTGGAAGATCATATGTTCAGATCCTATATGCATATTAATACCCCTCTTATTATGAACATGAATATGCTTTGTGAGTAGTTACGTTTGTTCCTGAGGACATGGGAGAAGTCTTGCTATTAGTAGTCATGTGAATTTGGTATTCGTTCGATATTTTGATGAGATGTATGTTGTCTCTTCTCTAGTGGTGTTATGTGAACGTCGACTACATGACACTTCACCATTATTTGGTCCTAGAGGAAGGCATTGGGAAGTAATAAGTAGATGATGGGTTGCTAGAGTGACAGAAAGCTTAAACCCTAGTTTATGCATTGATTCATAAGGGGCTGATTTGGATCCATATGTTTCATGCTATGGTTAGGTTTACCTTAATACTTTTGTTGTAGTTGCGGATGCTTGCAATAGTGGTTAATCATAAGTGGGATGCGTGTCCAAGTAAGGGCAGTATCCAAGCACCGGTCCACCCACATACCCAATTATCAAAGTACCGAATGCGAATCATATGAACGTGATGAAAACTAGCTTGACGATATTCCCATGTGTCCTCGGGATCGCTTTTCTCTATATAAGAGGTTGTCCAGGCTTGTCCTTTGCTACAAAAAGGATTGGGCCACCTTGCTGCACTTTATTCACTTTTGTTACTTGTTGCTCATTACCAATTATCTTATCACAAAACTATCTATTATCTATAATTTCAGTGCTTACAGAGAATAACTTGCTGAAAACCGTTTATCATTTCATTCTGCTCCTTGTTGGGTTCGACACTCTTACTTATCGAAAGGACTACGATAGATCCCCTATACTTGTGGGTCATCACTGACTCAAGTGTTCAGCAGTTTGAGAAATATTTTATTTTGAAAATGGTGGGAAAAACCTCTATTGTCCCCTGCACCATGTATGTGTGCAACTTAATTCACTACAGATCATAAATCACACAAATGCATTTATATCTGTGACATTTCCGAATCATACAACTTATATAAGTACGAAAACCAATAAAACATATCGATGATTACTGTGGAAGCCTGGAAGGCCTGCCATGTCATGAAGGGTGTGCACAGACCACTATGCTTGTTCACGAAAGACCAAGCAACATCTTTTTAGCAGCAGGAGCAGCTTGAGGCTGTTGTGCAGACAAGTGCCACTCCTCCACACCCTTGCAGATGGAGTCGGTGTCTTGGTAGTCCTCGCGGAAGGTCTCGAGATTGTTGTTCATGTTGGCAAACAACGACACGACCAGCTCGTGATGCCATCTCTCCACGCGTGGGAAGTCACAATACTTGCTCCCGATCATCCATGTACTGCAGATCAAAGGAACAAAAAAATACTCTGAAGGTAAATACCTTGATCAGCTAGCTTGGTATGAAATAGTTTCTAGAGCAAGTCTAACGGATTCACTAAATTATCTCCTTTTAAAAAAGTTTAATATAAGGCTAGGAGTAAAAAAATCTATGATGGCAGAGTCTCTAAACCGTCTCCATTTATTCTAAAGACACTTCAAACTTGTCGTCTGGCATTTATATTTGGGGGAGGGGTGGTGGTATAAATATCACTTTAACTACAGTTTGTGTGTGTTGGGGGTATGGGGTAGGGAGGGAGGGGGGTATAAATGTCCACAATAGCTACATGTCGGCCGTCTGATTTTTTATTTTGGGTCGGTCGATTTCGCTAGAAGGGAGAAACTGCCGAAGGGGAGGAAGAAGCACGTTGGAGGAGTGGAAGAAGCTCGCTGGTAGTCTACCCCATCATCTATCTTAGGGTGGGGGTGGGGGAGGCAGCACAACGGTGGTCGGGGGTGGCAGCACGGCGGTGGTGCAAGTTCGCCGGAGAAAAATCGGTCATCGCTTAGGGCTAGAGGGATGGCTGGGGAGGCGGCAAGACTAGTGGGGGGGTTCATGGGTGGGAGGTGTGGCGAGGCGGTCGTGGGACGCCGATGGCCCTGGAGGGGGGGCAGTAGGCGGCCCGACCGGTGGTACATGAGGTGGTCAGAGGAGGAAGATGAGCCGGAGATTGAAGAAGACGATCTCGCTGTTGATTTTCCATCCAACGGTCCAAAATGATCGACCGACCCAAACCCAGTTTTCAGTCGATTGACTATTAGCCACGCCCCTTTGTAACTACAGTCTGTGTGTGTGTTGCGGGTATGGAGGGAGGGTTCGTCACAACACCACTAAACTAGCGCCAACTACCTCCATTCGGCATTGTGGACCAGTTTTCGCTACCACCCACCCTCGTCGCCACCTAGCGATAGGTCGGCGGCCAATATGAATGCCTCCATGGCCAGCGATGATGAGGTCATCTCTCCCTTACCCCACCAAGTTGTTGAGTGTGTCGTCGCCTATCGTGCACCTTCTGTGGCCGCTTTCTTCCCCACTCACGATGTCCAAGGGCTTCACATCGCACTCCCTCTAGTAGCAACGACCGGTGCCTTGACATGAGCTTATGGGTGGTGTGGAAAGTGGTAGGCAGTAGAGATACTGTTGCGGTGTGGTTGGGGGAAGAATGTAGGTTAAACCAAAAAGAAGGCAAAATAAGTATGTACCACATCGACAAGTAGGCTCCACATGGCGGTAAAAATATAAATGTTGTAGTTTTAGTGAATCTGACTTTGCACGCTTGCTTTAAAGTTAAACAATTTTGGACCCAACTAGTGGTTAGTCGACCGAGATTTTACAAATTTGTTAATAGACATCCGGAAAGAAGTTCACTATGTTATGAAAAATTGTTCATCTAGACTAGTGCAAAAGAATTTCTAGTTTCTGCTTCCAAACTTAGAAAAACGAAAATGATAAATCCCGAACGTTCGGGATTTGACCATGGCAAATCTTACTTTTTTGATGGCAATTTTAGTGACGCGTGGATAACAAGTTTAGTTGACACACATGGTAATTTCCTGGCAAAAGAAACACTGAGCACGGATTTCTCATGCTTGCTAACTAAACTTGTCATCCTCATGTCACTAAAATTGCCATAAAAACTTTCGATTTGCCATGGTAAAAGATGAACGTCTGAGCGGTATCGAGATCCAAAAAAATAACTTACATGGACCTCAACGTCAGATGGATTGGGACATGACTCTGTATTGACTAAGAGTCGGCTGAGAATAGCAAATCCAAAATTTCATTTTTGCTTTTGCTAATTCTAATGTACCGAAACTCGCTGGAGAAGAGAAGCTATCTTAGGGGAAGCCATGACCCCAATATCTATATTAGGGGGTGGTGGGGTGCAGGGGATTGCCCGAGTTATTTTAGGTGAGACGGGTTAGAGGGATGACCAGGGTGACGGCCAGCACGGTGTCGTTGCCGATTAGCCGATCGAACGAAGAACGCTGAGCTCAAGAATGCACGCAACACACGCGAGAGAGGAAAGCCTTTTTTCCGCAGCTAACAACGCCACGTTTTCTGTTTCATTCCTTTTTCCTTATTCTTGGTACAACCGAAAGCGTAGCTAACCAACCCCGGCCAGCCCGTCGTGATCCGGATTGATCGCGCCATCCCACGACCTCCTTCACACAGACGTGCCACGCTGACCGGGTTTACAGAAAACCAACAAAGGAAAAAAAACGGGATCGCGCGGAGGGCACGTCCCAGCTACGTGCATGCTGCATGGAAGTGTCACATCTGCAGGCATGCAATGTTTATTTTAAGCAGAAAACTACATTAGCCTATGACGTGAGCTTAGCATGGCTAACATTTCTCCCCCCTAAGCTCAGCGTCCTTTGCTAATTACCTTCACTCCCAGCCTCTGACGCAGCTCGACGAACTTCACCCGACCCAGCGCTTTTGTCAAGGGCATCACCAACCTGATCATCAGTGCCAACGTGATCAATCTGCACCTCCTTTGTTTCAACACAATCTCGGATGAAATGAAACTTGATATCAATATGTTTGCTTCGGTCGTGGTGAACGGGGTTCTTGGCCAGTGCAATTGCAGACTTGTTGTCAATCAGAAGCTTGAATGAGCTTGCTTCTTCTTCTCCTCTCATCTCTGCAAGAAGACGGCTCAACCAAAGACCTTGGCAAGTGGCTGCGGCTGCTGCAACATACTCCGCCTCACATGAGCTGATGGCTACAATCTTTTGCTTTTGAGAGGTCCATGACACTGGGTTCTCACCAAGGAAGAAGATCTGACCCGAGGTGCTCTTGCGATCTCCAACATCTCCGGCGTGATCGCTGTCACTGTAACCAATCAGTTAGCTTTGTCGGAGCCACGCCGGTAGCAGCAGCCATAGTTCAGAGTGCCGCGCACATACCGAAGGATTTGCTTCACGGCTGTCCAGTGAGTCACAGTGGGCTTCTCCATAAACCTGCTCACTATCCCAACCGCATGTGTGATGTCTGGCCTGGTGTGAACCAAGTATCTCAGGCTCCCAATCACGGTACGGTACAGCGAGGCATCAACCAATTTTGCTTCATCATCTTTCTTCAGCTTGAGCCGGCATTCCATGGGAGTTTGGCATGCATTACATCCATCCATTCCAGCCACCTCGAGCACTTTTTCTGCATAATTCCTCTGACACAAAGTAATGGAGTCTCTGGTTTGTGTTACCTCAATGCCCAAGTAGTAACTTAGAAGACCAAGATCACTCATTTTGAAGAGCTCTTGCATCTGTCCCTTGAACTCGATGATGGATGCTTGGTCAGTGCCCGTGATGATGAGATCGTCAACGTACACGCCCACTAGCAGGAACGAGTGAGCATTGCCACGGCGGTACACGGCGTGCTCCAGTGGACTGCGCGTGAACCCCAACATGCTCATGCTCTCGTCTAGCTTCGCGTACCAGGCCCTCGGAGCTTGCCGTAGCCCGTAGAGTGCCTTCCGAAGCCGCAGGACCTGCTGCTCCTTGCCGGCGGTGATGTACCCCGGCGGCTGCGCCACGTACACTTCCTCGGCGAGGTCACCATTGAGAAAAGCGGATTTTACATCCATGTGGTGCACCTCCCAGCCGGAGTGCGTGGCGAGCGCAAGAAGCAGCCGCACAGTCTCCATGCGTGCCACCAGCGCGAAAACTTCCTCGAAGTCCACGCCTTCTCGCTGCACATAGCCTTTCGCCACCAAGAGGGCCTTGTACTTGATGATCTTGCCATCCGGGTCGCGCTTGACGCGATATACCCACTTGAGACCGATCGCCGTGTGTCCAGCTGGGAGCTGAGCAAGCTCCCATGTCTTGTTGTCGATGATGGACTGCATCTCGACGTCCATGGCGCCCTTCCATGCCTTGCTTGCGAGCGCCTCGTCCACGCCACGCGGCTCCTCGGCACTGAACAGGCAGCGCACGAGCAGGCACCGCTCGAACTGCTCACGCACCGCCTGATCCTCGGTCTCCTCCAGCACGCTCGTGAAGCTCCGGTAGCGAACTGGCTGCCCCGTTGGCACATCATGCCTGGAGTCATATGACGGAGGCGTGTCCCCGCTAGCCCTCGGCGAGTCCATGGGTGTCACCGGCTTGTACTGCGATGACTCGGGCGCGTCCACCACAGGTGTGGCAACTGCAGGAGATCGCGGCGTCCCCAAGGCTGGTGTAGAGGGTGTCGCCGCGGTCCGAGGGGTGGCCAGCGGGGTGGTCGACCCACTGTCGATCTCCTGGACACCATCATCCATGGTGTAAACCACGGTAAATGTCACCGGCGCTGCGGTGTCCGCACTCATGCCCGGGGTGCTCCAAGTCCATGGCCTGCTCTCTTCAAATAAAATGTCACGAGTTACCTGAAGTTTTTTCGCCACTGGGTCGTAGACGCGATAACATTTGGCACCCTCCTCATAGCCAATAAACACCATGGGAGTTGAGCGATCAGTGAGCTTGGTCACCCCTTGTCCGAGCTTCTTCACATGTACTGTGCAGCCGAAGGTACGCAGGTGTTGCACGTTCGGCTTCCTGCCGTGCCATGCTTCATACGGCGTGACACCATCGAGGCTGCGGGTCGGTGATCTGTTGAGAATGTATACAGCCGTCCTCACTGCTTCGCCCCAAAACACAGCGGGCATGCCCATGCTCTTCAGTAAACACCGCGCCATCTCGACAACAATCTGATTACGCCACTCAACGACACCATTTTGTTGCGGCGAATACGGTGCAGTCGTGTAGTGCTTGACCCCGAGCTTGTCGCAGTACTCCATGAACTCACCAGAATTAAACTCGCCGCCCCGGTCAGACCGGAACGCACGCAACCTGCATCTTCCTTCAGTTTCAGCAGCAGTCTGAATCCTCTTGAAGCAGCTGAATGCCTCGTCCTTTGTCTTCAGTACGGCCAACCACATGTATCGACTGAAGTCATCAACTACAAGCAAAAAATACTTGTTGCCTCCAAGAGTGGGTGGACTGATCGGACCACACAAGTCAGTGTGGACAAGCTCCAAGCCTTGTTCGGCCCTGTACGCTGCTGCCTGCGGGAATAATGCACGGTGCTGCTTGCCGAGGGTGCATCCGTCGCAGTACTCGTCGACGCGGTCGATCAGCGGCATCCCACGTACCATGCTTTTGGAGGACATGGCACGCAGTGCCCTGAAGTGTAGATGACCCATCCTAGCATGCCAACGCCAGGTCTCGTCGCCGTTCTTCGTCAGCAGGCACGCCGGTGTGTCAATGGTGAGCACGGCAGTGTACAAATGACTGATCGAATGCCGGATGTGAGCCATCATGCGCCCGACGGTGTCATGAATTGTCATCAGTCCCTCATGAATTTGAATTCTGCACCCCCCTTCATCCAGCTGGCCAACTGAAATTATATTGCTGCTAAGACTTGGGATAAAGTAAACCTCTGACAGTGCGCGTTGGTTGCCGCTCTGTCCTCTGAAGATCACTGAACCTCTTCCTCGGATTGCAACGCGTGATCCATCTCCGAACTTTACAGTCCCTTGCACAGATTCATCAAGAGTACTGAACATGCCCCTGTCACCAGTCATGTGGCTTGTAGCTCCCGTATCAAAGTACCACAGCCCCGGCGGTGAGATCTCTGGATGCACTTTCTCTTCATTGAGATGAACTTGCTGGGGCGCCACGATGCTGGTGGTGAAACAAGTGGTGACCGCGGCCATCATAAGTCCCTCATGGTGCTCGTCGCCTTCGCGGACTAGATGTGCTTGCCCCTGCTTTGCACGTTCTTCTTCCGCCTTAATCCTGGTGTAGCACTCTTTCTTCCAATGACCCGGCTTGTTGCAATAATGGCATTTTCCCTTTTTCTTGCCGCCGGATCCTCCCGCGCCGCCGCTGCCCGGTGCAGGTCTGCCACCGCCGCCACCGTGAGGTTTTGGCTTGCCCGGTGACTTGTTCTTGCCGCCGCCTCCTCCGCCGGACGATGAACCGCCGGCGCCGCTGCCCAGCTTCTCCCGGGCCAGCCACTCCTCATGAGTGAGCAGAAGGCGCCCGGTGGATTGCGTGCCGTCGTCGAGGTCGTAGTGGTCCTCACATGCAGAGAAACGCCCGACGAGCTCCTCGATGGACATGGTTTTCAGATCGATCAAGGATTCGATCGCCATGGCCATCGGGCGGTACCTCCGCGGCACCACTCGGAGAAACTTCTGGACTGCCTTGTGCTCGGTGACAGGGTCGCCATACAGCTCCGGGTCGGCGACGAGGCCAGAAAGCCGCAGCCCGAAATCCTCGACGGACTCCCCGTCTTTGAAACGGAGATCCTCGAACTCCCGCCGGCGCACCTGCGCCTTGGCTTCACGGGCGCGCTCGCTGCCCATCCGCATCGTCTTGATGGTCTCCCACGCCGTCTTCGCCGTGTCCTTCGCAGCCAACACACGCAGCATCTCCGGCGGAACGCCCGTGAGGATGATCTGTAGCGCGCGCCGGTCGTCGTTCTCCTCGGCGCCGTCCTCGATCACCGCGGTCCAGACGCGGGCGACTTGCAGCTTAACCTGCATCACAAGCGCCCACTCCTGGTAATTGGTACAGGTGAGCATCATGGACGTCCCCGACTCCTCGCGCACGACGCGCTCCACCACACGGAGTTCGCCGCTCCCGCTGCCGCTGCCGGTGAGACGCGCGATCGGCGCCTTGGACGTCGGCGTCTTCGGCGGCGACTTGGTCCCGGTCTTGCTCATCTTCTCCTCCTCGCTATCCGACATGGTACGCCGCGGATCGGACACCGCCGGCCACCGGAGAGTGGATCGAACACCACGGCTCTGATGCCAATTGTCGTTGCCGATTAGCCGATCGAACGAAGAACGCTGAGCTCAAGAACGCACGCAACACACGCGAGAGAGGAAAGCCTTTTTGCCGCAGCTAACAACGCCACGTTTTCTGTTTCATTCCTTTTTCCTTATTCTTGGTACAACCGAAAGCCTAGCTAACCAACCCCGGCCAGCCCGTCGTGATCCGGATTGATCGCGCCATCCCACGACCTCCTTCACACAGACGTGCCACGCTGACCGGGTTTACAGAAAACCAACAAAGGAAAAAAACGGGATCGTGCGGAGGGCACGTCCCAGCTACGTGCATGCTGCATGGAAGTGTCACATCTGCAGGCATGCAATGTTTATTTTAAGCAGAAAACTACATTAGCCTATGACGTGAGCTTAGCATGGCTAACACACGGCGGTGGGGAGAGGTAGAGGGAAGGGCGGGACGGCGAGGTGGCGCTAGACACCGGCCATGGGGGCGGAGGCAGCGGCCAGGCCTGGGCTGGCTGACGGCTACACGGGAGAAAGAAGAAACCAGAGGTTGAATATGAGCAGTGTAAGTCTGTTCACAGTCGTTGGATGAAGATCAGACGGTCTAGAATATAAGTGACTGACAGATGCTCTTTTTTCAGGTAGGATGCATAGTCGATCCCTCTTTTTAGGGAGTCTGCTAAATTTGTTGTTCGTACCGTGGGCATGGTCTCAGACAAGCAGACGTCGTGGGTGTACTTCTTGGGCACGCCCGCGATCTCCCTGGCACGGTAATACTCCTCCACGGACCGCATCATCTCCTGCTCCGGCGGCAGCGTCCTCCTCCCTGACAGCACCTGCGCCCCCCATTTCGCCTGAGCCTCGAAGAACCGGGGCGCAAACACCTGCGTACCAGACGCATTGATTAATTTGTTTTGGTACGTATAATCAAGATCTGCTGTAATGCTTATGATTTCACGAACCTTTATGGGTATGCCGACGAAGGAGAGCGACGGCGCCAGCGACGGCGGGAACACGTGCTCGAACAGCGGGCCGACGCGGTTGTCGTCGACGGTGACCGCCCCCGCCGTGTGCAGGAACGGGAAAGAGTAATTGTACCCCGTGCAGTAGATGATGGTGTCGGCGAGGACGCCGGAGCCGCCGCCGCCGAACACCACCAGCCCGTCCTCGCACAGGCGCTCCACCTAGTAGCTTTCCATGTACGGGTCACTCGTTTCGTTTTGCATGTGGAGACCGACCGACGTGAGACGTGACTGACTGGAGCACGGAATAGACGTAGTAGTACGTACGTGCAGTTGCAGGTGCAGGTTGGCGCTATGCTTGGCGAGCACTTTGGCGAGCCCGGGGGTGACCTCCTCCATGGACTTGGCCACGAGGTGCACCTCCTTGGCGACCCCGCGGACCTCCATGGCGATGTCCTTGCCGCTCGCCCCGCACCCGACCACCACCACCACGTCGCCCCGGAACGGCTCCGGCACCCTGTACGAGTGGCTGTGCATCTGCCTCCCCCTCCACGCCTCCATGCCCTGGATGCTTGGCAGCCTCGGCTGCGAGTAGTGGCCGTTCGCCACGACGACGGCGTCGAAGACCTCCTCCTCCTCCGTGCCCTCGTGTACGGACCTCACCGTCCACTTCCGCGTCGGAGCCACCGCCATGGCGACGCGCAGGACACGCGTGTTGAGCCGGACCGCCTCCATGAGCCCGAACGCGTCGCAGAAGTCCCTGAGGTAGAGCTGCACCTCGCGGTGGCCCGGGAAGCGGCGGCCGTCGCGGCCGTCCTTGGGCGCGAAGTGGAAGTCGGTGAACCCCATGTTCTCCCTGGCGCTGATGGCGCGGAGGGACGCGTACAGGCTGCCGTGCACCTTCACCGTCTCCGCGGCGCCGAGCGGGTCGTCGGCGCCATCGCTCCTCGGGTCGTACAGCCACTGCCCGCCCACGTCGGCGTTCTGCTCCAGCACCGTCACGTCGTGGCCCTCCCGGCGCAGCTCGCGGGCTGACGCCAGCCCGGCCATCCCGGCTCCGATCACGCATACCTACTTGCGTTCCAATGGCATGCTCTCGTCGCAGACCATGTCGATTCTCGGGAAATCGCGCGGTGGATTGCTCGAGCTTGGCTCCGATCGCGCATGCTGCCTTCTTCCGTTGCATTGGCTCTTTTATGTGCATTATCTGTCAGATCAGACACTCCGCCCACTGTGATAAACAGTGGTAGAAAGTTTAGGTGGTTGCATGAGTCGATGGGATGTCTCCCATTTTTCTGTTAGGTGGTGGTGTACCGTAGTGTATCACCAGCAGACCATGAAAGGTGGCGTACTGTGCTCGTCGTTACAGTACAATCCAAAGTGCAATAATTGAGATCTTTCAAACAGATTATTTTTTAGATCTTTCAGAAAAGTGCAATGATTGACGTGCGGTGCTCGTGTGTAGCCAAATTGCACCGTGCACGTACCTATTGGACCTACTGTTGAAAATATTACCACTTTTTCCACTAAACTAATCCATGAATAAACAGTAAGCATGGTAAATACGGTATGCATTTCATACCGATACCTAAGCATGTGAGAGCGTACAGTACATAGAACCGAAACATCTACGAACATCATATATACGGCCATCACATGAACGAGCAAATAGAGGATAAACGAGTCATATCCTTCGGTTGGCCAGGCCAACGCGGCGGCGACAGCGGCAGCCTCGGCATAGGTTGAGGCCTTCTTCTTAGTGGCTTCGTCATCAGCCATGGAGTCGATGCCGGTGAAGTAGTGGAAGCAGAGGCGGACGGAAACGGGGACGGATCGGGAGCAGTCGCGTCGAGACGTTCCCCCAAAACCTTATTGTCGTTCTTCCGGGCAGGATCTCGAACGACAGGGTTCCGGAGGCACCTACTCTCCCGACAAACCGTGCATGCGGTCGTCGGGATGGGATCGCCGGAAGCAGTACAGAGAGAGGAACGGTAGATGACGGCTAGGGTTGTGCGAGAGGGAGTGAGTGAACTGAGTTAGGGACGACCGAGTCCACGAACAGCCCACGGTCCAACGTCTCGGACAGTGGCACTTTCGTAAGCGACTCGTTAATTATTTCGAGATTAATTAACCATTCTTGACCGGCAAAAATAAGATTCGGCTCGGCTCATTCCCGCAACCTGCTGCGTGCGCGCGTCGTGACGAGGCGAGGCGTGGCGAGGCGAGGCGGACGGCGGAGGAGGAGGAGGAGCGCGCATGTACAGCTCCTATTCCCAAATTCCCAATAGCAAGTGATGGAGCAACCCTTATAAAGAGGTCTCACTCTTCTTACTATAGTACTATGGTACTACACTTCCCACCACTTGCCGTACACATGCATGGGCCTTAGGGATTAACCAGGGATTATTGTCTTATATGGGCCTAAGCCCATCCATAATCCAGCAATCCCCCACCAGATCTCGAGGCACATAAGTTTGTCAGCTGTTCTAAACAATGTTTGATATACCAGAATTTTCAGTGGAGACTGTTAAATTGAACTTCCACCTAGAGCAATGGGATTAGACTTCTTCACAACTGAACAATGGACTATGCCTTGAATTGTCAGTTTGGCGTGTAGAAGTTTCGCCCATTGTCAGCTGATACGTGGCTGCCGAAGGCTAAACCCCACGGGTGGAGCTTATTAGTCATACTCCGTACCTTCTCATGAGCTTCCTAGAGATCACCCAATCTCATAGACTGTGACCAGCAGTCGGGCTCACATAGGTGTGTTCCTCTAAAGAATGCTCTGTAGGTTAGCATCTTGCTTACATAAGCTTTGGAACACATTAAGACAAAAGTCAGCCTGCCTTACAGAATTGAGAGTATTATTGCATCTCCAACGGAGTGGGTTAATTAAGGATACCATCCTCAGTTGACCGATGGGTTGTTTTCCCAGGTCCTAATTCACGGGATCTCCGATCACATAGGTTGGGTTATCCCCATGGCAACTTACGTGGGTCTTATACCCATCTCCCTTGATGCATTTTCTATCACAATCCGTGATAGTCCTTTCGTAAAAGGGTCTGCCAGATTCTTAGCCATCTGGATATAATCCAACACTATCACTCCAGAGGTTCTTGATTTTTTGACAAATTTTAATCTTCTTCTTATGTGCTTTGTGGATTTCATGTTGTCCTTTGAACTCTTAGCCTTGGTAATCACAGTTTGATTGTCACGGTTCATAAGGACAGCCGGGACTAGTTTATCAACCACCAACAAATCCATTAAAAGCTCTCGAAGCCATTCTGCTTCGATGCATGATGTGTCTAATGTTGTGAGTTCTACTTCCATAGTCGATCTCGTTAAGATCGTCTGCTTGCAAGACTTCCAGGAAACATCACCGCCACCAAGTGTGAAGACATATCCACTTGTGGCTTTCATCTCATCAGCATCAGATATCCAATTCGAATCACTATACCCCTCAAGTACCGTCGGGTACCCAGAATATTGAATTCTGTAGTTCACAGTACCTTGCAAATAACGCATCACTCTCTCAACAGCATGACAATGCACATCTCTTGGATTGGAAACAAACCGCCTCAGTTTGCACACAGCAAATCAGATGTCAAGACGAGTAGCACAAGCTAGGTACATCAGTAAACCAACCACTTGAGAATATCTCAATTGATCTACAGCCGTGCCTTCGAACTTTCGAATCCGCATGCTAGGATCATCTGGTGTTGCAGAAGGTTTGCAGTCCGTATATCCAAAACGGCTCAAAATCTTCTCAACATAGTGGGATTGCAAAAGTGTAATTCCACCCTCAGTATTTCTCATTAACTTAATGTTCAAGATAACATCAGCCACACCCAGGTCTTTCATCTCAAAGTTATGAGATAGAAAAGCCTTGACCTCCTCAATGACTTTGAGGTGGGTCCCAAATATCAGTATGTCATTGACATACAGACACAGTATAACTCCTTCGCCCCCACCATAGCGATAGTATACATATTTGTTAGCTTCGTTAACAACAAAGCCAGCAGATGTCAAAGTTGTATTAAACTTATCATGCCATTGCTTAGGCACTTGTTTCAGGCCATACAAAGATTTCACTACCTTACACACCTTTCTTTCCTGACCATTTACTACAAAGCCATCTGGCTATTGCATGTAAATTTCCTCGTCTAGATCTCCATTGAGGAAAGCCGTCTTAACGTCCATCTGATGAAAGAGAAGACCATGTGAGGCAACCAATGCGAGTAACACTCGAATGGTTGTCAGTCTAGCCATAGGTGAGTAAGTATCAAATAAATCTTTTTTCTTCTTTTTGGGTATAACCCTTGGCCACAAGCCTAGCCTTGTACTTCTCAACAGTACCATCGGGCCTAAGCTTCCTCTTGAACACCCACTTACATCCCATTGGTTGGCAACTGAGGGAGTCCTGGACTAAGGGGTCCTCGGGCGTCCGGCCTGTTATCCATGGGCCAGACTGATGGGCTGTGAAGACATGAAGGCCGAAGACTATACATGTGTCCGGATTGGACTCTTCTTGGCGTGGAAGGCAAGCTTGGCCACTGACTATGAAGATTCCTTCTTAAGTAACCGACTCTATGTAAACCCTGGATTCCCCCGGTGTCTATATAAACCGGAGGGGTTAGTCCGAAAAGGACAGATACTCATTACCATAGTCATACATGCTAGACTTCTAGGGTTTAGCCATTACGATCTCGTGGTAGATCAACTCTTGTAACACTCATATTCATCAAGATCAATCAAGCAGGACATAGGGTATTACCTCCATAGAGAGGGCCCGAACCTGGGTAAACATCGTGTCCCCTGTCTCGTATTACCATCGATCCTACACGTACAGTTCGGGACCCCCTACCCGAGATCCGCCGGTTTTGACACCGACATTGGTGCTTTCATTGAGAGTTCCGATGTGCCGTCGATGAAAGGCTCGATGGATCGCCTTGTCCTTAAAGACAACATCACCTCCGGGGGATCTCTGGCCCCGAGCCAAACCCTCCGGTCGGGCGGCTTTACTATGATCGCCCGTTCGGACGTTGAGCCGACGATGACCTCTCGGGCCATCGAAAACCCCCTTCGCATCAACTCCGAGCACTCCAAGCAGATGGATCCGATAGAGTTTTCATCTTTGAACGAACTCCTAGATCGCATCACCGCTTTGGGAATAGCCACAGACTACGATTGGATCGGGCCTAAAACCGATCAAGGAGAAATCAAGACCCTACTGATCACCCACCAGATTGCGGTAGTCATGGAGCGGGACGGTGAGTCTTCTTCTATACCGAAGATGGACTATGTTCAGATCGCCGATCAAGAAGAGCCGGATACCCACCCGCGAAAGGATGCGACCAGCCCTCCGAACATAGCATCGGACGACGGTCCTAAACAATCAGAAGATATTCCGGAACCCGAACTGTTAAGCTCGGAAGGTCATCAGACTCCGGATAATAGGTCAGGTCGGGGTTCGGATTTACTTCCACCCACCCACCCGGATATAGACGCTCTCATGAGCATAAAACAGCAGTATCAGGAAACGGTCCATCACTTCTGGGCCAGATTCCTCCTTGTCAAGGACAAGGTAAAAGATTGCCGTGACGAGGACACAATATCAGCGCTCTGCAACAATTGCGCGGACGAAGGAATCCTCAACGCCATTAATCGCCGCCGCATACTAAAATTCGCTGACTTAGCAACCATCGTACAAAAGTACAGCGCGATGGAGAGCACCTGGAAAACTCAGCCACCTCGCTGGGAACCATCAGTCCCAACTCAACTCCCCCTACAGGCGAAAAGGGCGCACCCTCGCGGCACGCCCAGTCCAACCGCTATGCGGCACGACACCGTTCTGGTGGGGTGGCTCGATGGCCCATGCAAAATATGTACAACACCAGATACCATGGCAACCCACAGCCTTAGAGGATGTTGGATACTACGACAGGTAGCCAAGAGCGGCGAGGACATCCTTATCAAGGACGACCCAGAACGGCATCCCCCAGGGGACGATAACTCAAGAGTATTGACGGTCTTTGAGACATTCGCTTCAA